AAAAAAAAAAAAAGAAAAAGGACATTAATCATAATCACTTTATTGAAAATCTTTCTATCATCATCTTTAATCGTCCTTTTCAAAGACCATGTCATTTTAAATAGTAAAATGAACGCGAAAGAAATAAATGAACATAACGTTATTCTTCTAGATATCTCACAAAACCGACTTATGTAAGTTTCATTTATAACCGAGATAGAAAAAAAAAACACTTTAATCTATAAAACAACCACAACAACATTTTTATCAACGAATTTCTTGGTGTAATAAGGGCGAGCACTTATATATATATATATATATATGTGTATATGTTTGTATGCATATGTCTCCTCTGTGTACTCGTTGAAGGATTCTTTTTCAAATTATGTTAATTAATTGAAAATTTGTGTGTAAAAACACAGTTTAATAGAGAGATTTACTCTTCAAAGAATCCCTTTCAACGAATGTAAATGACTATTATAACGTGCTAACGTCCGTTTTTCTTTCAGTGTTAGAAAACAAAAGATAGCAAAGTTTTGTAAAAGCGACTTTACTTCCCTTGTGTGTTGCGAATCGTGTCGCTGCTTCTTTCAAGAACCATATTATATCATCTCTCATTTTTCTTACCGATTATTTTTTCTATATCTCGTTTTAAATGGTTCTAAATAAAATAGAAAGAAAATTGAAAATTTTCTATCTTTTGATAAACGCACGATTTTTGCGCATTAAAACAAAAGAGAAAAGAAAAGATGATAATAAATAGAAGAGAAAAAAGTTTGACTAAATATAAAATTGCAGCGACGCGATCATCAAATTCTAATCTTCTAAATCCAACAAAAGAATAGAGAAAGAAAGAAAGAAAGAAATAAAGAAAGAGAAAGAGAGAAAACGTGCTTTTGGTAGCGCGACTCTCCTAGAATTATTTTTTTACCACGTTTAGCGTGTCGTCAGTGTCAGCGATCATAAATTTTTACTCGTCTCCTTCTTAGATATCCGACTAGAGAAAACTTAGATACAACGGTAGAGACACATTGTCCAAAAAAGGATGGCTCCGAACTCCATATTATCAAATCTGATATATATATATATATATATATATATATATATATCATATGATCTTCCGAAAGAACTTCTTTAAAATGACGAAAAGAAAAAAAAAACGACAGAAAAAGAGGGTGCTTCATGCGCATACGATCTTAAAAAATATGAATAAAAGTTTGCAAAAGATAAAGTCCGTTCCAATCGGCCAAGTTCTCTAATCACATAATAGATCCTAGACTTAAAAAAGTATAACGTCGAGAAAAGGACCGTTCTGGGCCCTCCGAGTATCGCGTTTTTTAAGAGCGAAGGTATAACCGCGAAAGAGTGCTGTTAAATAACAAACAAAGTATATATATATACATACATAAATACATACATAAATACATCCATACGTCGTTCGCGAGCAACCCATTTCAAATACTGTAAATAGTTAATGATTGAATCGAATGGATGAAGAGAGAGAGCGAGAGAGAGAGAGAGAGAGAGAGAGAAATTTAAAGAAAGAGAGAGAGAGAGAGAGAGAAAGAGAGAGAGAGATAGAGAAAGTAAATGTGTACGAATAATTGTATAAAGACTGATTAGACTAGCTTTGGTATTTATTCAAATTTACAATTAACACTATCGCTTGCGCGCTCAGAATACTCATGGAGCACACGATGCCAAAGGTATTCCTTCTACGAATTTCTTTAAAATATCCTTCGTTTTGCTAGGAGCATCGTTGTCCATTGTACGAATCGATAATCGATCATCCACTTGCTCTTTTTGATATTCTTAACTTGGAAAAAAAAGATCATTAAAATGACGAAACCCATTTACGAATATCAATACTAATAATATCGCACGCTGATAATATCTGTTCGTAATTTGTCGAATGTTTGGGCCTATATACAAATATATATGTATAGATATTTTTTATACAATCTTCAGTTGCATCGTTGTTCACGCCATCTATCTCTTTCGACTGATACGTAATTACTCTGTACAATTATTATTTTTTTTTTTATTTTTTCTTTATTTTATTTTATTTCTTTTTTTTTCTTTCTTATTATTATTATTATCGTTATATATATTTGCATTGCAACGTCTCTAACGAATCGAACGAAATTCAATGAAATGAGAACGAAGGCTGATGCAACAAAGCAATTCGATGATATACGATGATAAAATACGTTTAGGAATTCTTAAACTAGTTCGCTAGTTGATTCCGTCGTGATTTAACGCTGAAATCGCTGATAAGATCTCTAACGTGCTCTGATCATTCCAATCGTACTAAGGACGGCAATGAGTATGTATAAGAATTGTTGTGTGAAGGTGAGAGAAAGGTGAGAAAAAGTAAGAGAGAAAGAAAGAAAGAAAGAAAGAAAGAGAGAAAGAGAGAGAGAAAGAGAGAGAAAGAGAGAGAGGAACGACAAGTGAAAGCGGAGGAAATAATAACGAAGAAACGAGATAAGCGCAGTTATAACGGCGACATTATTATTGTCACAATGTATGAATATTATTCAAGTGCATCGTATAAACCATTAAACTAAATGTAAACTTTGTATATTCATTTACAAAGAGAATAAAGATAAATTATTCGACGGATCGCCGAGGACTCTTTAAATTAGTTAACATCTCAATTGCATCATGAAGAAAATCGTTTATCATATTTAACGTTCACCCATTGAAAATTGCAATTATCGTTTAACGATCTCGATTGCATATATCACAAAAATGTCAATCTCGTTGAACGAAACAATCTCGCGTCCCTTATATATATATATATATATATATAAAATAAAGTGTACAGTTTTTTCAAAGATTTTCCATCAACGTACGAGCCCTTTTAAGTTCTGAAATAATAATTCTTTTGAATGTCAAGTAATATTATTACATTGATTAAAATAAGTTAATAATAATACGCGATTGATTGGTTAATAATTCTTATCGCATGGAATTTACCCGTAAGTAAAACCTGTACATCGTCCTTGGAAATATTAATCGTAGATTCCTCCTCATTTCCCTCCAATTTCTTAACTTTCAAGCTGACCGTTGAAAACGGCGAAGAACTGTCGCAGGAAACAACTTTGATCGACGATAAATGGCTCACTACGAATAAGTTATTCAATATTATTCTTAATATTAAATATTTCTATTCAAATTTTACTCATTTTTTTTTTATCGAGTAATAACGTTAATGATGCGAAATTATTATTTCACGTATTGTATTTAATTTATTATTAAAACAATGAGAAAATAATCTTGCCTCTTAAGGACTGAGACGAAAGAGTAGCTGTAAGTTGTGGACAACAATCTGTATGAATTCTTGCGACAGCCGTACTGTGTTCCCTTGGAAGACCCAATTGTTGCAATTCGCTACTCAAATCAGCTGCAGACACCCCGTAACGTGCTGACGATGTGAAGATCAATTCCAAAGCTGCGATCATAGCTTTTGCATCGCTCAAATCTTCGCAGAAAAAGCACTTTGTTCGTTTCTCTCTGTAATGATCACTTCTTTTTTCCAACTTTAAACAATTTGCTTATTTTTTTTTTTTTATTCGGTAATAAATATGGTATTGTGTTTTTTCTCTTCTTTTTTAATAATGCTCAATATTTCTTATCATTAAAAAATATAGCCTAAACTTACCGAGCTTTGCATCCTGTGTGATTTTTTTTATTTTCTCTTCCTGCATTTAAAGAAAATAAAATAAATATATATATATATATATATTTAATGTAATTAATAATAGTAATTAATGGTTTCAACAAACCATCTTTTTTTTCTCCTAGTTTCAAGAAAATACATGGATACGTAAAAATACAAATAAAACCATTACAAATAAATATTTTCTTACATATACATTCTTGCATGGATTATATTTCGCTGCTTTATTTTTTTTTATTATTCTTTAATTTTTTCATTAGCAATTATTTGTTATATCGCGATAAATGATTTTTCTAAATATTACAAAATAACGAAAAAATAATTTTTTTTTCAGCACAAAAAGAGAAAAAAATAGTGTGACATCTTTTAAATATATTAAACTTTATAACGTGTAACATTTTAGATAAACATGGCATGTAAATGACATTTAATCAAATGCAGTATGACAAGGGAAAGTGTTAATAAAAAGAAAAATAATGTTTTCGCTATGTTTTATACTTACATCCAATTCTCCTTCCGTCAACGATTTCATAACGATTTGTCCTAAAGTTTTCATTTTAATTGATGTCTGTATAACAAGATTCAGTATCATATTATTAAAAAGCAATGTATAAAAGAAAAGTTAATTAATGTTCTGTTTAAATAATTCAATACAAACCATTCGCGAGAGCGTATTAATTTCTGCTAAAAGCCAATCGGGACAATCCCCGTCGCCCAAAAATCGAAATTTCTGCAAATTCATAATTATTACAAACAATGCACTTATCCGATTTCGTAAAATAAAATTTACAAGTGATCTTACCATTTTAATTTATTTTATTTAAACAATCTCGTACGTTTATCGACGACTGAAACAAATGAAAATAATCATTTTACAAGAAAATTATTTTTATATTTTCAGAGGGGATAATTTCAAAACATTTGAAAATTATTCCGGAATAACTTATTGTTAGACATTATGAAAACAAGTATTACATCTTTCAACATGATTGAGCACCTACAACGCGTAGTAAAATCATTGATCGGGTTCTAAAAAGAATTGTTTTCGAAAATGCCTGCCTTTGAACTTTTCTAATCCCAATATTATTAATTTTTGCAGAAACTAATTACCTCTTACAATTAGTCAACAAATGTTACGATTGGACAATTTTAAAATTTGTTCAAAAAATAAAAGACTTGACGTAAAATCATCGTGAAAAATAATGCGAACATCAACGAATTATTTAGAAAATTTTTTGACGTCTGTATTAAAAATGTAAAGATGATAGTTTTTAATGTGTATCGTAAAATATAATACTAATTTATTATTAATTTATTATTATTATTATTATTATTATTATTAAAATTCGTGTAGTCTTTTAGTTATATTTTGTATTATCCCACATGTGTGCATGTATATTATGTGTATGTGTTTTCTATTGTACTTTATTTAGAATTATATGGGAAAATAATTCAGTTTTTATCGTTCCTGTCAAACGTCTCGTACAAAAGGTAAATCCATTTCATTAATTGTAAAACAAATGAATCAAGGATACATATGTCTTGTTTGAACATTCGAATTAAACGAACCACGTCGTTATATTTAGAATTCCTAAACATTCTTGCTCTACGAGGTACATTTTATTTATGTTAATACGAATGATCTTTGAACTTTTCTCAAAAGTATATTTTTTTGACGCGTTATGGAGGAAGGATATAAAAAATAAAAATAAAAAAAAATTACAAAGAAAAAAGACCCTGTCGAGAAATATCAAAAACTCGGTGTTTAAAACGTCGGGAAAAATAATCGACGATATCTCAGGGAAAGGGTAACGAGCTTTACGCCGTAGCACTTTGTACTGAACTTATCTTTTCAATCGTATTATTTATAAAAAAAAAAAAAAAAATAAATAAAAACGCAAGACAAAAAATATGAAAATAGAAAAAGGAAGTTAAAATGAAAAAGAAAGAAAAAGACAACAAGCTGAGTACAAATGAAAAGATGAAAGAGTTATTTGCAATTTTTTATATTAAATTTATCTAAAGTTTTATCGTTCATTTTCTTATTTCCAATTTTATTTTTCTAATAGTTATTGTTCTTTTAAATCGTCGTCTCGTTGCAACATAGCAGGCTTTATTCTAGCTACAACGGTTGATCCGTAACTGCAGGTTCACGCGTAGAAGAAATGCTATTTCGATAATCAAAATTTCTCTGCTCTCAGACGTGAAGTCACCAATGATATCCCTAGAGCAAAGAGAAATGGCAAACGGTTTATACGTAATACAGATATATAAGGTGTCTCGGTAAAGCTTTAGAAATTGTTTTTCTTCTCGTTTTTAATCATTACCTAAGGTACTTTATTTTATAAACAAACAAAATAATATCATTTAAGATATACAGCTATCTAAATGATGAGTTAAACCAAACCCTTGCATATATAACAATACTACTTCTCTCATTTAAAAACAAAACAGAATAATATATTATTTTATTAGAATTATTTTGAATTAGAAATGTTTAAAAAAAAAAAAAAGAAAAGTTAATCAATAAATATTATAATAAGAAAATCTTGTTAACAGGATTCCTCCATCTAATTAATTTTCTTAAATTTAACAAAACATATATTTCCAATGAAATTGAATTCGCGCAACAACGTGATTTCTTTTACGATAATCGCATTAAAGTTAATTTTTCTTTTAAACTCAATAATTATTTTCTTTTTCTTCTTCTTTTTTAAAGAAACGAATTGCGACATGTTATAACAGAGACAGAAAAAAATTACCGATCACCCTATATAGAAACGCATATTACCCTTACAACAAAACTAAATATACAAGATTCGATTGTCGGCCGTGTAACGCAGGACGGTTGTTTGTACTTGCTGACCAGAAGATTGACGTGGGCTTCGCGACGTAGAATGGCAAGAATTCCCAATGCAATTCGCCGAATCTTCGAACCGCAACGTAGTAAATGATTTCACGATGGGAGGTATAAAGAAGAGAAAAGGAAGTAGCATAAATACACTTGAAATAATGCCGCTCTTGGCATTCTCTTCCAGGAACCCAAGGTGTTCTAGTCGTTGTCGCGTTAAACGTTAAAAGTAGAGATAGAAGTAGAAGAAGAAGAAGAAGAAGAATAAAAAGAAGAAAAAGAAGAAGAATAAGAAGAAGAGTAAGCAAAGAATAAAGAAGAAAAAATAAAAAGATAGGAAGAAATTGAGAGGAAAACAAAACTTGAAGAGCAACAGGTACGAAGAAGAAAAGAAAAAACAAAAAAGAAAAACAAAAGAGATAGAAAAAGAGGGAGAGAGAAAGAAAAAAGAGGGGATGGGTTAGTTTGGTCTGACTGAAACCTGACTCGTTTCACTTAAGCGGCTGATCGAGCGTGGCGTAGTCATTCCACTTAAAACGCGTCCGACTTATCGCCAATGTGTATCACTTATCTTGCACGATGTTCTTTACTTTATCGACAAGAACATACGTCGTAGTAGTGTATAATCCCGAGAAACGCCCCGATGACGTTGTTTATCGGTCTACTTCTTATGTTAGAAGTTTATTTAGACAGTACTGGACGAATGAAAAAAACAAGTACTATGTTATATATACGGTGTGTCTTTTTACTCCTCTCCCTTTTTACTGATTCGAGTCTTACTTCTATACGAATACCTTTTTTTTCACACCTATCCAATATTATTAAATAACTCGCGCGTCTTTTTACCGCCATTTAGGAGTCAACAGCATACGAATTTTTGTTTTTCCAAATCGGTCATTCATCCATTTTACTAATCGTACTCAACGTTGCTTGACTTTGGTGATCTGACAGGAATTAGTAATCTAACGTGACTCTATGTTACAGAGTAATGGATAATCCGTTTCAGGATTACCGTCGCTAACTAAAATCATCATTATTAAGAACGCAATTTAATAATGTCTTCCCGCGCGTGACTAAGTACGATCGGAAAATTTAAGTTTTTTTTTTTTTAAATTGCGAACAGAAATTCACGTAATCAAGAATCGTTAACCAAGAGATATATTTTCTTACAGCGATTCGTCGTTTAATCAAGTACGTCTTTATCTGACAAATCGTTCTCTTAACCAAGGCACTGACTGTATTCGGAAATCGACTTTCACACTTTCGTAGATTTAAATTCTAACGTGAAATCGAGCCAGCTTTTTTCGAAGATTTATTTTAATCGCGACTTTAAGAAAAAAAAAAAAAAAAAGTGAAGAAATAATATTTGAAGATAAGAGAAAAAAAACTTCAAAAGAAAAAGGATAATCTTTAAACAATATTGTTCACTCTATTATCGCGTGGAAATCATTGAAAAACACCTATGCCAGCTAACTTGTTTACGCTTCGCCTCTTAACCACGAGTGCACAGTGCAATTCTCGCTACGTGTTACTACCAAAGAACAATGTTTACATATCTAATATTAGAATGGGAGGGGGAGGGATGTGTGTGTGTGAGAGAGAGAGAGATTGTAAGAAAGGTCGGGGTTAGATTTTTCATCGTATAATTTGACAAAGTCGTCGCATTTAATCGGTTTAAAGAAATTGGAAAATGATCGTTTTCAGATATGGGAAAAGTTGTAGTCGCTGTGATAATATTATTACTAGTTATGGTGACAACCAAAGGACTGGAGGTTAGTAAAATAAAAAAAAAATAAAAAAAAACGTATAATATTATCTCGCAAGGAAAAAAATAAATAAATAAAATAACAACGAGTTCTTTGTACTTTTTTTCCCCTTTTTTTTTTTTTTTTTTTTCTTCTTCAGATAAAATATCTCCGTAGAATACCTTTCAACGATGTAGAAAAACAATCCTGGGTTAACGAGAAAACTGGTCAAGCCCTTTGGGAGGATATTCATCCTAACTTGATAGAACGAAGTTCATCCCGTGAGGATGAGAACAGACAAGATCGTAAAAGCTTCGATTTGGAAAGACCTTCGGAAGTTGGGACTAGGTAAAGTCAAAGTGATCCGAAATTAGTGTCCATGCGTGTGCGTTCATAATTAAAAATGTAAAATATCTATTACGAATGAAAAATAATATCACAATGTTAAGAATAATAACGTAGAATCATTTCTAGAATAAAATTATTTGATTTCAGGGAAAACGATTTAACGAAGAAAAATTCAAGCAAAATTAAATCGATCCTACGAAAACCGAAATGTTCGAATTTGAGAATATTATTCGATCTTTCGTCATCGAACGATTGTGACAAATCAATCCGAAAATGTAATTCTCGAAAGTATCGTAGGCAAATCGAAAAATGGTCAGTTCCTCAACCGTTCTACGTCGATGAACCAAAATGGATTGAAATGGAGCTTGACTATGAAGAAAACATACCATACGATATACATAACGAAAAGAATACCTTTTTTGTAACGCGTGGGAAAAGACCGTTCATGCCAAAGAGCAAAGAGCAATCTTCTGTATTACTACAAAATCTGTATTACTACAAAGAAAAGGAAAATAATGATAAGAAGTTTCTTGAAAAAGCGAATAAGTTCACTGAAGACAAGAACAATAGGATTAAAAAAAACGATTTAAAAAGAAAAGAAGAGAGAAGGAAAGCTTTGAAACTGGGCACTCGTCAGTTAGAAGATTTGGTACGTAATTTAGAAAAACCGGAAGAACCGTTTGTTCTGACTCGAGGAAAAAAATTATATGTTAGGAATCACGAGATGTCTTTAAATACGAATATCAAAAAGGAAACTTTGGAAAATGGATCTATCGGAAAAATTCAAAAACGTTCGATAATCGACGTACCCACGTACATTAAAATGATTAATACAAACGCAAGTTCGTTGTTAAAAGAAACGAATAATGTGACATTATCCAAAAAACAACAACTCCGTTTACGAACGAGAAGAAATTCTTGCGAAGATATTGACTGTTCTATCGATCATTCTAAAAAGAAGATTCGTTTGACAGAAGACGATGAAAGGGCAGTTCTTGATTCTGATTACGTCAAACGAAGGGATAAACATTCGGACATTTACGACATACTCGAAGTACCCTTCTTCATTTCCAGAGGTAAAAAGACATTTGAGTATAAAAATCAGCAGGAATCCATAAATACACCAATTAATAATGGCGAATCGTTGGATTCTATCGAGGCTGCTAAACAAATTTTTCAACGATTGTTTAATTCTGGAGTATGCAATATTGATTTATGCAAAGATTTAATAAAATTTATCAGAGAAAACGATACAAATATGATTGAAAGAAATCGTAAAAGTAGCCTTGAAGAATTGTTCAAAAAACATGATTTGTTTTACGTCGTTAGGGGTAAGAAAATGTATTTGAGTAATTTTTTAAAAGAAAATCAGCTCAAATCTGACGTAAATCTAAATGGCAATGAATTTTTAGCGAAAGATCATTTGTCTTATAATATTAAAAATCTTGATAAACGATACGCTCGCTAATAAAATTTTATTTTGAATAATAAAATGTATCACCTTACAATTTTGATCTTTTTCTTTTTAAAAATATTCAAGCAAAGAGACCAAAAACGCCAGTGGCAATCATTTTGGTTACAATTTCAACCAATCTGAATCCTGTAGTAATAAATTATACAAAGTTGTGTTACGAAAAAATTGTAAAAATGAGAACAAATAAATAATGTTGAGAAATAATAATAGGGCTTCATTAACCATATGCGTATTATATAATATGTGTGATTCAATTGCTGACGTAACAGAGAAATAATTATTTCT